TTTGCTCAATAGCGTTGCTATTTTTGGTACGTTCCGCTCAAATGACAATTTCGACGTTATTCAGTAGTTTCCAGGTCACCAAGCAACTTTTGTTATCAATTTAAGGTTCTTCAGAACAGCGATGGATTCAAGATCAAAAATGGAGGTACATAACAGTGCAGGCACACTTGGTTACTGACAAAAGCCTAATCTTCAAAATCACGCCCTGCTACTGCCATCATGTTTCAGATGCACGTAAAACTTGTGGGAGAGGCGACACAGTGCTAGGATATCAACTTCGGAAACTATTCCTCCAAGCACACAACGAAAAAAGGTGCGGTCCCATTCCTCAGAGGAAATCCGTTCAACCTCCTTGATCGAGTTTATGCAAGATACTTTCATGAAAAATGACAAGAGGATTGGATATTGTATCTCGTGATTCTATGCTGTTCCAGAGCTTCACTTGCCAAAGGAGAAGTCGAAATCGGAGGTAAAAGACTGTCGGCCGCAGCAAACATGCGCTTTATGGTCTGCAAAAAGACTTTCGTTTTCATAACTGCATCTACCATTCAGATTGCTTTCTTCAGAAATATGATTGCCAATTGGAAGAGAAAGCCGTTAACTTGACTTTGACCCGAAGAAGATTTGAAAACAGAACTAGATTCACTGAAGTCAAAAGAAACTTCGCCAAGATTGAATCACACGACAGCGGTCCGAACAAGGTAGCGAGACAGGTAAGCGCTCCAATTCCAGCTTGACATGAAATCTATTGGTTGTCTCCAAGACTGTATCGGATTGGTGGGACCGGAAGTCGCAATGACACAACCTCAAAAATATTACTGATGGTGACTACGGAGCAATCCCATTCTTCTTGGTGGGTAATTTGTTAGTTTTGCTCCTGAGTTCTCGTAAAATGCAATGCAAAAGCCGATGAAAGAGAGGACGAAAGAAAAAGTCAAAAAACCATGGATCCAGCAAGTCATGATCCCTTTTCGACACGCCATCGCTGTACGGCACTTGTTATACGGTTTTCTTGGGACAACATTCTCCCCTAATTGTCGACCTTCCAGATGGCTCAGGCAGAAACAGATAAAGTCGGGTGTGCAGTGCGCTACTATATGTATGACAACAAGTTCTATTATGCTATCGCTTGCTTCTATGGAAAGTGAGTTTATATGCCAAAAGCGTGCTGTTATTAGGGTCGTATTGGATAATATACATATTATAGGGAAGTTAAAGCTGGCAGCGAGCTTTACCAACAAAGCACTACCGCATGCACCAATTGCACCCAAGGTTACGAGTGCGACCAGAAAGCACTTTGCAAGAAACAATCAAATAATTGAACTTCAAATAAATTTTGATGGCCAATGAAGAATTTCTTCCACAATTCCCGCGATTTTACTAAATGCTTTGGTTTCTTGTCTACAATGAGAAGATAATAGAGGTCTTTCTCTGGTTTGCTCTCTCCAGCCGCTTTGGAAACACTTTCTACTACTATGAAAAGTGCAAGTGAGAAGCACAACAAACGACGAGGCAGATTATTGGACGACTGTTTTTTAGTTTTTACATGACATACGAACCTCCAAAATTGGGGCTTTTCTGATGTGCGCTCCCTTCGGTTACGAGAGGCCCTCACTGCTGCTCCCTAACTCCAACGACCAGAGCCACGAAGACGAACAGACAGCAAAGAGTGAACCCCGATACAAGAGCTTTTTCCTTAGAAGTAGTAATAGCACATGGAAAGAGCTACGAGTCAAAGTGTGCAACTGTGCAGTACCGCTGAAAAAAATACCTTGACTATCTGTGTCGGAAGCTAATACTATGGCCAGAAAACCAGTCACAATAGCAAAATTTTGCTCAACGAAGCTGTGGACCTAAAGACATACTCTAAGGTCCAAGACGAATGAAATCATTCTTCAATTAATCACCACAACATATAATAAACGCATGCAAGTAATAAAGCGGAGGACGGCGAAGACACTGAGAAGTGGAAGTCAATATCATATACATATGTAGTACCCCCGTGAAAAGAAATAAAAAATGCGAGAGACGAGCAACTTATAAACGGAGGGGATGACAAAAAGCCTATTCTGAGCTCACATCACGTACGTAGAACATTGCTTTCGTGGAGAGCAACCGATGCTAACATTCTCCGAACTTACGCGACGAGCTGGAAGAATGCCACTAGCCTCGCATTACAGTATTCCATCGGGTATTGTGTTAACCAGGCTCTCATCAGGATGGTCAGGTTAGAGAAGGACGGACGGACTGATCGTGTTCACTCCTTCATTCGCCACTCTCTACATTCTTCTGTTTAATGCCTACAACACAATATGATGCCTCCTTATGCAAAGGTCACAAAAAAAAATCTTAAATCGCAATCGATCAATGATCACAATAATGAAATATGGGACCGAGTTATTTCCTCCAAGGCTATCTCGCAATGGAGGAATCAGAGCCTGAAACCGCTGAACGACAAAAGACTCACGCCTCAAAGTAGCGACTCAACGATACGATTGGTTAGTAACCAACCACTTTTGTTTCCAACTTCTTATAAAGTAGGATTCAAAACCGATAGCAACTGAACATAAAAAATGGTCCGAAATATACGCGTCCAAGTGTTTGAGCGTTTCTCTGCAAAACGCAAGGTACACAATGATTTTTAGGCGTTTTCTGCAAGCAAATAATGGAAGTGTTGGTATAGGATGGTGCATCGGTAACGAAAAGAGCGGAAACTACCAGAATTAGCGAAATATGCGGGTCTTGAAGATATTAGGTTGGAAGATAAGTCCTGCAACACTGAACATGCTCCTCCAGAAAAAAACCAAAACCTTCTAAAACGTTTTCGCGCCTGATTGCTGTAGTGTTTCTGAAGGATTCTGAAAATGGACATAAAAGGGCTTTGTGAAGGGGTTCTTCATGAACTTCGCCTGTCTGACAATACAAACAGGATGCACGTGGCTGAGTCTCTTCTGCTTTGTCCCCATCGAAAGGACTTATTGCGAGACATAATGATCGGAGATGAGAGCTGGGTGCTTTACGTGAACCATACACGTGAGCGCCAGTGGGTTGAGCGAGGAGAAAAGTCATTTACGGGGCTTGAAGCAGGCCTCTATGAGTAGAGAGTTTTAATGTGCTGCTGGTAGGGCTGCGATGGGATGATCTACTAGGAGCTGCTAACAGTGACACCACAGTGACGGCCATAATCTACGCTAACCAACTGCAAAGAGTGGCCGACGTAATGCGGAAGCTACGCCTGAAAAGACTCACTGTATTCCCACTCCACGATAACGCACGCCCGCAAGTGGCCAACGAAAGCGTCAAAAAATATTGAACTCGGAAGGGAGGTACTGCCGCATCTAGAAGTTACTTCGCCTTCTAATTAACAACTATTCAGAGCACTGAAGCCCCATCTAAGCGACAAAAAATTTGATGATCACCGTGAACTCAAGAGACGGACCACTTTTTTTCGTCGCGGCTAGCGGAATTCTGGAGGAGAGGGATCGGGAAGCTGCCCGAAAGATGGGTACTTGTCCTAGATAATAATGGTGACTATACTGTAGATTGAGGGCATCGTTTAGTAAAGAAATATAAAATTTAAAAACTTGTCCCGAGTGAGACTAATCTTCCAACCTAATAGTATAAGTAGGAGGTTGAAGGAGCTCATGACGGCGGAAGTGGTACAGAAAAAGTTATCCAGACAAGATTTTAGTCGTGTGCAACTGAGTGGTAAAGAGCTGGTTACAATAAGTAAAATCAAAAACTTCCTTACTAAGCTCCACCTAAGCCGCTCTTCAATTTGACCAACAGCCCATGCGCCATCGTTGTGGCCAGGGATTCGTGCCACTGGAAATTCTCAGAAATCGTTTTTACCGTAGACTGCATCACACTTATTACGCAGGTTTGTCAACACCCGACTTTTCCTCTCAAAACACAGCCTACTCGCCTCGCGACCGTTCTTGTGTTCTGGGATGGTTCAAGGATGAAGAAACACGCGGCTGATAACTCGTGAGAGAAAACTAGGGAAAGGAATTTAATCAAATTACCAACAAGACAGGACAGATTAGGTATCTCAGCTGCAATAGCAACATGCAAACATGGGGCTCGAAAATGTAGTAAGAAATCCAGTACCTACTTGTACACTACATATTTGTCGAGTATAAACGCAACTTCAGTTTGAACGCTTTGCTCAAAACGCCCAGATGAACAATCACGTACACCTTCGACCTTGAAGCTGTACAACATAGCAGACACCCTTCCTACTAAAAAACAGCGTCTACAACTATTTGGCCAATTCTGCAACCAAATTCGGAATTTGTTTGGTTAGCTGAACAACACTGAGGAAAAAAGGAAAGTGCAATGGCACGTTGATGCTTTTTTGTCCCCATAGCTCTCCGATCACTTATCCTCTTTTTCTGTGGTATGGTGCCTTCCTTTGCTGACCAAATAGTTGTACGACATTGTATACACTTTACCTCATAGAACCAACGTTTACCACCATTTGGTAGTTCTTCAAACAAATCCGGGAACTGTTTGGTCAGCTGAATAACAATGAGGAAAAGGAACGTGCA